ACTCCACAGAGATGGCCACCAAAAGGGCTTCAGCGGTCCCGTCTCAATTAACACCTGAAACTTTGCTAGTGAAACCTCAGCATACTCTTAGAGAATCCTAGTTTTTATCAGCAGCAAAAAAATGTGTGCGATCAGTTTCTTAAACTTATTTAAACATTTGAAAAGTTAGAAAATTGTGGCAAAGAGCATTAATTCTTGAGTCTGGGGAGTGTATTACTTTGATGAGAATGTTTGTGTATTTGAAACTAAAGTATGTATCAGTTTATATTGCCACATACTGAGTTTTATGGCATAATATATGGTATAGAGAGCAGGTTGTCTAAAAACCAATATTTGCAATATGCTGAATATTCAGCATGGTTTTATGAAGCCGACAGAGTGGAGTGTATTTTGCATGTGTCATAACTTGCAGATGAGGAAATAAAGTTGTAGAGAGATTAAATTAGCCAAGTCAGGGGTTTCGGTGCTAGGAAGTCTTGATTTTGTAAAATATAGCCATATAACTTAAAAAAAATGAATCCAGACAAATAGAAAACAAAATCGTTCTAAACATATAATCTACTTTAAGTTCACAAAATGTCTTAAACATAATTTAGGCTGTGCTTGACTTAACCTACTTGTTTATTTCCTACCAAGGATGAGCAGGAACTAGGCATTGATATCGAAACATTCATTATTCTTACATTTTCTTTCTTTTTTCTGTGTCCTGTCTCTCTCTCTCTCTCTCTCTCTCTCACACACACACACACACACACACACACGCACTCTCTCAGAAGTACTAGTACTATACCCTGAAATTGTTTCTTTAGTTCTTGTCAAAATTCCTCTGATTTTATTTTTCGTGTCCTGAAATACTGTCGAGATTAACATCCTGATTGCCTTCCAGAATATCTGACTTTATTTTTTGTATGTGCTTTTTACTCTTTGGTAGAGTTATGGATTCATTAACAGATCCTACTGTATGCTCTGACAGCTATGACCACAATGGGTGAGTTGACTGATCTAAGTGGTGAAAAATATGGGGAGCATCGATGGCAATAATAGCTTTCTGTAAGAGACTTTAAGCATCTTTGGGTAACATTGTTTTTGAACCAGAGTGGAAAAAATAAGATCCGGTCAGAAGAGGGACACTTGGTACTCAAAGATTCTTTGTGACCCTTAGTCATTAGTAGCCAAAACCCTTAGGAAACTATCGGAATGCCTGTGTATGAGACTCTCTCCAGAGCAATGCAAGAGAGGAGAGAATCCTCCTTGGAGAAAGAAGGTGGTAGCATTGGACAGGCAGCAGAGGAGCCCTCAGCAGAAAGAAAGGAGCTAAGAGACCCTGTATCTGTCCCTCACCCTTCAGAGCTGGTACCCCAAACTCAAAGCCATCATCACATTGGATGGAGCCCCTGCCTCAGGTTTAGTCCCTTGATCCTATTTGAGGGGAAACAAAGATATCTGCGACTCACGAAGAGCATGAAGGTGGTGGAGGGACTTGAGAATTAGGAAATCAAAATGGGCAAGAACAACGTGTGCCTACAAATGGAACATGCATTTGAAGCACATTTAAGTTAAATTTGCTGTCACACATGAAGACCAGGTTCAGTAAGAAAGAATTGTATTTAAATCTTGATTCATTAAACTTTTTTGAGAGTCCTAAACAATTTTTATTACCAACACATAAAGACCTCTTTCTAGAGAAAAATGAAGTACCAGGTGCCAAAGAACAGATTTACATGAGAATTTTTTGGGGACAACACATTGTGATTTATAGCGCAATCATAGCCAATTTGAACCAAAAAAAAAGTAGTATATGAATTTACGTTGTTTCTTGCTACTTACCTTTCAATCCTTTGCACTGATCCCAGTGAATTGACATCAGAAATCTGTGCTGGAGCCAACAATGAAAGGTGATGTCATAATATATATTGGAGATGGGAGGAATTCGGGTCTGTGAAATTCAGTCTCATAATATATATTGGAGATGGGAGGAATTCAGGTTTGTGAAATTCAGTCTCAGAATTATTCATGGGAAAATAGTTTTCCGGACACTGATTCTAAAATTCTTTCTAAAAAGTTAGGTCTTAAGTAAGCTAACAAATGTTAAATACAGAGTTTCTTGGACACTGTTTCTAAAGTACTGGTAGTTTCAGCTTCTGTATGTAACATCCTTTTCTTTTTGGGTCTAGTCGGATACAAGACAAATAGATCACAAGAAGTCTACTTCTTCTTCCTAGCTGAGTTGACTAGTCGCCAAAACTTTTAGAAACCTGTTGGATTGCCTGTGTATGAGACTCTGCCAGGTTGGGCTATATCAGTTTCTAGGGCTGCTTTAACGAAGTAGCACAAACCAAGTGGCTTAAAAAAAATTAATCAGCTCATAGTCCTAGAGACTAGAAATCTGAAATTGAGGTTGTCAGTAGGGTTGGCTTTTTATGAGGGCTGTAAAGAAGAATCTGTTTGATACCTCTTTGCTAGCTTTTGCTGGTTGCTGGCAATCTTTGGCATTCCTTGGCAGGTAGACTCATGTCTAGAGTAAATGCAGCTATTTGACCAAAAGTGTAAGTCCAAATTATGTTTGTATCTGAATAATATGCTTTTATAATTCCTCAGCCCACAGCCAACTGAGTTGACAGTAGTAACCTATGATAGAGCCACCCATGACATGTGAGTTAAAAAAACAAAGATTTATATACATGTAAGTGTATATATACATATATACACAAATACATACTTCTATCAACATACACGCATGCATACACATACACACACAGAAACATAAAACAATGAAAGAGAAGTTGGTATTTGTAAAATTCACTGTCAGGCGTATCCTTGGAAATACAGAGTATCTTTGACACTATGTCTAAATCTTCTCACTGTAGGATCTATAGATAACTTTCTATTTCTTTTTTCAGACCAAATTGGATGAAAGAGGAAGAAGTCATGAAAGAGATGCTTCTTCCTCTTAGTATATTTGTCACTAAGTTATTAGTATTCAATCCCTTAGGAATCTTTGAAGTTTCTCATTTATGAGACTCTACTACTGCTAGAGTGGGCCAAAGGGAGAGAGAATCCTGTTTGGAGCAATGGGGAGGTAACAGGTGACACGGAGGAGTGAAGCACTCATCAAAAAGAACAGAGCTCATGAAATCTTAATGGGTTCCTCACCCTCTAGAGTTCTACCACCATGTGAGGCTGGTGCCCCAAACCAAACCCAAACCCACAATATTTTGTAGGGAGTTCCCGACTCAGGCCTGCAGCTACATGGTCATATCTTCTGGGCAGGAAAGACAGCCATGATGGGTGAAAGTAAGGAAGTGACAGAGGAACTTAGGAATCAAAAATTTAGATGGAGAGGCATGTTTCCTTACAGATTGCAGTTACGTTAGAAATAAATGCCACTGGCGAGGCATGGTCGCTCATATCTGTAATCCCAGCACTTTGGGAGGCCAAGACAGCTAGATCAGTTGAGGCCAGGAATTTGAGACCAGCCTGACCAACGTGGCAAAACCCTGTGTCTACTAAAAATACAAAAATTAGACAGGCATGGTGGTGCATGCCTGTAATCCCATCTACTCAGGAGGCTGAGGCAGGAGAATTGCTTGAACCTGGGAGGCAGAGGTTGCAGTGAGCCAAGATCACTCCAGCCTCCGTGAGAGTGAGACTCTGCCAAAAAAAAAAAAAAAAAGATACATCTAGTTCGAATTAGTGAATACACATGAATATTTAAATATCAACCAGATAGTACATTATAGAGTAACTGTAGCTGTTTGATCCAAAAAGTAAGTTTAGAATTACATGTGTGTCCAACTATCTACTTTTATATTCCTTTAGCCTGCATACAGATGAATTGACATCAATGACCTATGATACAACCACCAATGAAATGTGAATTATAAATTATATATACACAAATATGTAAAGAACTATATATGTAAAGAAATACATATGCATACTTCTGTCTGTCTAGACACACAAACACAGGGAGAGAGAGAGAGAAACAGAGAGAGAGAGAAAGAGAGAGAGAAACAACAGAGAGAAAGATGAAGATTATGTGCTTTACTCTCAGGGTCATCCAAAGCCATACAGAATGTCTTTTACACTGTTTATAAATCTCACTATAGGCCCTGCAGGTCCCTTATCCAACTTTTTGATTAAATTGGATAAAAAGGAACAGGTCACAAAAGGGAAACTTCTTGTTATTGTCTTGTCACCCTTAGTAGCAGGCACATACTTGGGAAAGTCAGATTTCCTGTATATGAGACATACTAGAGTGGGCCAAAGGAAGAAAATCCTATGCAGAGCAATGAGCAAGTAGCAGTGGGCAGGAAGCAGTGGAGCCGTGAGGGGAAAACAGCAGAGCTAATGGCCTGGCAGGGTTCCTCACACCCAGAGCTCTACCACCATGTGAGGCTAACAATACAAGCCCACACCCATCACCACATTGTACGGAGCAGTTTCCTGACCCTGTGTGAGAGCAGAGAAGACACCTGTGATGGTGAAAACAAGGCACTGATGAAGGGATTTTAGTATGAGGAAATGAGATGAGGTCAAAGGAATTTGTATATAGAAACTGCGGCTGAATTTGAATTAAAGTAAACCCCCAAATGCTTACTTTGTGCTTCATTCAATTGTAGCAACTAAACATCACTTGTGAGTAATTCAAACCTGAAAGTGAAGTCTAGGATGTCATATTGATGTTGGACTATATATATATATATATATATGTAAATTCTGTAGCACTGCCAAGTCTAAATTCAAATCAAGGCCAGGCACGGTGGCTCAAGCCTGTAATCCCAGCACTTTGGGAGGCCGAGACGGGCGGATCATGAGGTCAGGAGATCGAGGCTATCCTGGCTAATACGGTGAAACCGTCTCTACTAAAAAATACAAAAAAACTAGCCGGGCGTGGTGGCGGCATCTGTAGTCCCAACTACTCGGGAGGCTGAGGGAGGAGAATGGCGTAAACCCGGGAGGCGGAGCTTGCAGTGATCTGAGATCCGGCCACTGCCCTCCAGCCTGGGCGACAGAGCAAGACTCCGTCTCAAAAAAAAAAAAAAAAAATTCAAATCAGTACCCTGGAATGGAGCTATCGGTGAACTGTGAGACAGAAATCAATCAATATAGATATAAGGATATATGAGCATAGGAGGAAACAATTATATGCCATTTACATATACCTATATGCATTCATATTAAATCAAGGCATGCACCCACAGGTACTGCAGAGAAATATACAGGTTGAAATTAGGGAAGGTTCAAGGGCATTAACGGAAAAACAAAAAACTGTTACACGTGTCTACGTGATCTCGCTATAGGAAATGAAGGTGCCTTTATGGCTTCTTGAGTGAATTTAGATAAAAGATGACCACATAATGAGAAGAATGATTTTTCTTACTAGTCTGTTTGATACTCTGAGTAACAATCAAAAATAATTTTCAGACTGCCTATATGTGAGACCTTATTACAATGGCTGAGGACAGCAGAGAATCCTCTTTGGAAACAGAAAAGGATAGCGGGGGACAGAGAGTAGTGAAGACCTCCGGAGAAGAGAAAAAAGCTAACAACCCTAGAAATGCTTTTGATCCTGCAGAACTCTGCCACAATACAGGGTGATACTCCAGACTCCAAACACCATCATATTGGATTGTGTCCTTGACTCAGACCTGCAGTTACTTTACCCTACTTGTGGACCAAGAGAGACGATCAAGTAAAGGAGTAATGGAGGGCCTTCGAGGCAGCACATTTAGTGGAATAAGAGGGCTGACTACCTCCACACAAAGGTTTAGTTTGAAATAACTGCCACCACACAGGCTGTCAGGCACTGGGACTGAGGACATAACAGAGAAGTTTATTTAAATCTGGAAGCATTATCATTTTCCCTAGCCTAAGATGTTGATTGCCATCGTATAAATCCTGCTTTCCAAATAGTGCTATACACATGAATAGTCAGAACTTAACTGGTTTATGTGCAGAGTAATGAAAGCGAGTTTTACTGGAAGAGTGAATTTGGAATTGTGTCTCCTTTCTGATTGTGTTCTTTTATCATCCTCCAGTCCACCCGCAAATGAATTATCAGGCACGAACCTGGAGGCGCGTATCAATGAAAGGTGAGTTACGCACACGTGTGTCTTTATTTATCTAATTATAACTGAGCATAGAAGTATTTACACACACAGGCACATAAACAAATATATCCATCCATCCATCCATGCGTCCATCCATACACACTTCGTAAGCAGCTTCTTAAAGGACTCAGATTTCCTGAGTTTGAGAGCCTGTGAGATTGACAGAAGGGAGGAGAAAATCCTATTTGTAACATGGAGGAGATGGCAGGTGACAAGGAGCAGTGAGGCCCTGGGCAGAAAAGAATGGAGCGAATGGAACATGGACTTGTCCCTCACACTCCAGAGCTCTGTCAGCACATGAGTTTGGTGCTAAAACACAAACAGAAGCACAGCACCTCATTGGATGCAGCCCTTCCTGAGGCCCACAGCTACTCGCCTGTGTCTCCTGGATGGGAAAGACTAGCATGATGGGTGAAAGGAAAGAGGTGATGGAGAGATCCAGGAAGTGGGCCATAGATGGGATTAGAGGGAGGAATGCCTACACAGTGGAGTTGAATTCAAAAGAAATTCACCTACAACAGGCTGTTGTGCATTGGCCAGCTCCAGTGGTGGAGAGTTTTGGTGAACTCTTGAGTCAGTGAGTCTTATATAGGTGTAAAGTATGTGCTGCAATCGTATAAAGTATGATGTGTAGGGTAAATGTCATGGCAGATTCCAAAGAACCAAATACACACATGACTTCTGTAAGGGTAAGGCAGTCTACAGGTTGAAAAGTAGTTGGAAGGTCAGGTGCGGTGGCTCATGAGTGTACTCACAGCGCTTTGGGAGGCAGGGCGGGTGGATAACGAGATTAGGATTTCAAGGCCAGCCTGGCCAACGTGGTGAAACCCCATCTGTACTAAAAATGCAAAATTAGCCAGGCGTGGTGGTAGGTGCCTGTAGTCCCTGCTCCTCGGGAGGCTGAGGCAGGAGAATTGCTTGAACCTCGGAGACAGAGGTTGCAGTGAGCCGAGATCGTGGCACTGCACTCCAGCTTGGGTGACAGAGCGAGACTGTGTCTCAAAAAACAACCACAAAACAACAAGCAAACAAAAAGAGAAAACAAAAGCAATTGAAACTATTATGAACTGAAAATGTTATCTCTAGAAAGTTACATGTTGTCTTACTATGTACATTTTAAGTTCTTTGGCACTGCCCTGTGTGTGAATTGAGAGTATCTTCTAGTAGGCTGGCCAGTGCAACCTGTGATATAAAGGAATACAGTTATACATGTATCTATGCCTGTATAAACACATACATACATGCGTTCATACACACAAGAGAGATTGAGTTGAGCTGTTGACTGTCACAAGCATCCATGGGAACAAGGAGTTCCCTGGAAACTCTTTCTAGAGTCCTCTCAGAATGAGCTTCGTATGGAATATTCTTTTGTTTTGTGGATGGAGGTAGGAAAATGGGGAGGAACTCATAGAGGGAGGCTTTTTATGTTAGTGTTTGTCACATTTCCTTTCTGTGAAAATGAGACTGTACTGGTAGCGTGGACCAAGGGAGAAGTGAATCCTACTTGGAGCAAGAAGGAGATAGGAGTGGACAAAGATCAGAGAAATGCCAGCCAAAGAAAAGAACAGAACTAATAACCCCGGAATTATTTCACACCCTCCAGAGCTCTGCCATTATGTGAGGCTGACTGCCTTGGCCCATACCCACCCTCACATGGGATGGAGCCCTTGCTTGAGGCCTATAACTACTTGGCCACAACCCTTGGTCCGGAAAGACAACTAGGATGGGTGGAAAGTGAGGAGGTGATTGGAGGTGATAGAGAATGAGGAACTCAGATGGGATTATAAGAAAGGAGACTTACAACTGAATTTGAACTGGAGTTCAATGTTCTCCAGAAATGCTGTTACACATTGAGGTGTAGCTACCCTTACTTAATCTGGATGCATTGCTATGTTCACAGGCTAAGATGCTCACTGGTGGCATGTAAAACCTCATTTCTAATAAACAGCAAATGCCATCCCAGGTCAATTTAGTGATGTACATACATGTGAATAATTACAGTGTAACTGGGGAATAGCGCATAGACTAACTGTAGCTATTTGTTGCAAAACATTAGGATAACGCCTTGTGTCTGACTCTGACCATATTTGTCCCTTAGTCCCGATCCGAATGCCCTGGCGGGAGTCATCATTGAGAGAAGCCCCAGTGACAGGTGAGTTATTAAAGTTGTACACATGGCCAGGTGCAGTGATTCGCACCTGTAATCTGAGCACTGGGAGGCCAAGGCAGGCAGATCCCCTGAGGTCAGGAGTTCAAGACCAGGCTGGCAAACATGGTAAAACCCCTTCTCTACTAAAACTACAACAACTACACTGGTGTGGTGTCAGGTGCCTCTAATCCCAGCTACTCGGGAGGCTGAGGCAGGAGAATCACTTGAACGTGGGGAGGTGCAGGGTGCAGTGAGCTGAGACCATGCCACTGCATTCCACCCTGGGCAGCAGGAGCGAAACTTTGTCACAAACACACACACACACACACAAACACACACACAAAAAAAAACAGTGACAGAGAAAGAGACTGAGATTAGTGGGATTCACTCAGAAGTGTTCACAGTAATAGAGAGTGTCTCTGACCCAGTTTCTTGATCATCTCACTGTATCACGTATAGATAACTTCCACGTTTTTACAGTTGTTTGGAAAAAAAGAAACAGACTATAGAGAGAGGCTTCTGTCAGTTACTGTCTTTTCACCATTTGTTGGTAGCAGTGAAATGCCTTGGAAACTCTGATTTTCTGTGTATGAGACATAGCAGAGTGGGCCGAGGGAAGAGAGAATCCTGTTTGGAGCGAGGAGGAGGTAGGAATGCACGGGGAACGGTGAAGCCCTCAGCAGGAAGCAACAGAGCTAAGGCCTTGGAGGTGTTCTCCACCCTCCAGAACTCTGCCACCACGGAGGCTGGAGCTCCAAACCTCAGATCACTGTCCCACTGGATTGTGCTTCTGTGTCAGTCCTCTAGTTACTTGACTTTTTGTGGGGCCGGGGAGCCACCCATTGTGGGTGAAAGTAAGGAGGTATTGGAGGGCCTTTGAAACAGGACGTTCAATGAAATAAGAGGGCTGACA